CTCCTCATCGCCGCCGGAATCTTCATCCTCTATCCATCTGACCCCGAAATTCGCCTCGTTCGTATCCGAATCAACCACATCGGAATCCGAACCAATCCGAAACCGATTCTCGACCTATCGTTTTCCCTCACCGTGAAGGTTCGTAACAGAGACTTCTTCTCCCTTACATACGATTCCCTTGATGTTTCCGTCGGTTACCGTGGTCGTCAGCTAGGGTTGGTTTCCTCCGTCGGTGGTGCTCGGATTAAGGCGCGTGGATCTTCTAATGTCGACGTTGTGTTAACCGTTGATGGATTTGAAGTTATCTATGATGCTTTCTATCTGCTTCAAGATATTGCGAAAGGCGTGATTCCGTTGGAGACTGATACGCGTGTTGATGGAAAATTAGGGCTTCTCTTCTTCGATGTTCCTTTGAAGGTACTAGTATAGTTATAGTTATAAGAATTAACAGCTCAATTTTTATATTTTACTTTGATATTGTATACTGCAGAGATTTTTTTATTTGTTTATTATTTTATCTATAGGATTGGGATTTTGTTGTTTGGAATTGTAACTTGTGCCACCAATAGATGACTTTTCTGCTAATATTTGATATAACTTGAGTTCAAGTGTTGAATTTCCCAGTTATTAGGTTATAATTTCAACCTTGATCAGTGCTGTAAAATAGCGGCTATAACTGTTTTAATAGAAGTTATAAGTTGTTTTTGCAAGATATTCTAAGAAGCTTAGCTTTAAGCTGAACATGGAACTGTTTTTGTAAACTCTCTTTAGAACATACACATGATTATGCTATAAGATAAGCTATAAATAAGTTCTTAAAGTGTTTTTTTATGTCTATTTGATATGTATGTGTTTGTGATGTTTAATGGTAAATTCAGGCAACGGTGTCGTGTGAAGTGTATGTTAATTTAAACAAGCAGACAGTTGTACGGCAAGACTGCTATCCTGAGGTGAGATTTTTTGTTTATACTTTTGGCTACTGATTTTTACCAGCAGGACTTTGTATTCATCTCTTTTGTAATTTTTCATGTAACTCTTGGCAAATCTGTAGCATTGCATTTTAGTTAAGTCATGTTTCCCTCCCCTTACCATCAAACACTTCACAATATTGTGGAGTTCTCTTTTATGAAACATTAGAAAGAGGACTTTTAACCCTCAATTGTACCCCAAAATAAAAGAAGCCGCATGTATATGAGGGTAGGGGTGGCAAATGGGCTTGTATGTCAGAAAACGAGGCTGGCCGGAAACCTTTGCTCGGCCTGCAATAAAACTGGGAGGGATCTACTACAGACGCTGTCACCAATAAAGCCTAAAAGTGGCAAAAAAATCATGTTCTCCTTGTTTAGGTTTGCACCCGTCAAAGCCCGCCAAAAAAACGGGTTGGGCAGGCAAAGTAGAGGAGCGTGCCAGTAAACCTGGCTTGATCCGCAAAAATTGACGAGCCTGACCTGTTTTGCAACCCCTATCTGAGGGGTTTTTTGAGGAGTTTTTTTCATGTGTTAGGAGTTTGCAACTGCAAGGCTGTTGCATATCAGCTAGAAGTGAACTTATAAAAAGTCAAATTTTTTGAAAGTATTCTTTGCCTTTGTATTAAAATTTTGAAATTTCAAACAAGAAAAATTCTAAATTGTTGTACTATGTTAAACAGTTTTATTCCTTGCCCTAGTATTTAAGTGGGATTTCTTAATTTCTTAATCCTGTACTCCGTCGCCTCAGAGTTTGAACTATTGACAAAAAAAATTATAGCATGAGTTTTATCTTTTTTGCATTAAAATTAAATAAAAAGAGAACAAATTATACCTTCTTATTGAGAAAACTAAAGAAAAAGAAGATAACTCGTAAATATTACTGCAGCAAATATAAGTAAGTATATAGTAAATATAATAAATATCACTGGTAAAGATATTTCATTGTTGTAGAGGAACATAGTGAAATATCTTTATTGCAGAGATATAGGTGATATTTACTATATAGTTAATTATATTTGTTGCAGTAATATTTATTACTTCTCAACTACAAACTCAAAACTCAACTCATTGCAAGAAGACACTATGTAAGAAGATACAAGTGATTTTTGTTTTCTTTAGTTTTCTCTATAAGGTATGATTTCTTTTTTTCTTTTTTTTTTTTTAATTTTCATGTAAAAGGATAAAGTTTATGCTATAATATTTTTGTCAATAGTTTAAACTCTAAATCATCGAAAGTATGCATTATTTCACGAGTTTAAAGAAGGCATAGGTAAACATCCATGCTGGTACATTTCAAAGAAAAAGAAAATTGATAGTGTAAAAGTAATTTAAAGAAAGTAAAGAACTAGAGTATTTCGAAATCTCACTTAAATACTAGAGAAAGGAATACAACTGATTAATATAGTACAACAATTTAGACTTTTGCTTGTTTGGAACTCTTATATTTTAGACGCTGCTGGGCATGTAGATGCCTGTGAAGTTAGCATCTACGCGAAAGACAAGGGAAGGTACATGGAGGAGTTATTCTAGATGAGGTTTATTCTAGATGGGACACCTCTTCAGTTTCTGCCAATTGGCCATGTTTATATCATTATGCACTTCATTAATTAATTATGATAATTTAGAATATTAAATATTTAATCAATGTTTTTAAATTTTGATTTGTCGTTTATTATTTGAAATATTTAAAATGGATGTATGAATTTAAAAAAAAAATTATTTTATTATTTATAATGTAATTTGATGTTAGAAATAAATAAACATGTATTAAAAAAAATTGATTTCACTTCATAGATTGTGGTGGGTAGGGGGTTAGATGCTTAGAATAATGGATTCATGAAAAAAAATTTACTAAAAGAAAAGATGTTCTATAATAAATTTGATTTTAACCGAATGTATAACCAAAGCAGTTGTATGCAATAAAATGAATAAATTGATATAGCATATCGTTTTTTCTTATTGAAGACCGTATAAAAAACACATACAGGATTCCTTTATATGGTTGTGTGCATCATTTTTGTTATTTGGACAAACTTTGGTTTTACTTTTTATTTGTAATTGGACAGCAGTGCATCACCTTCATCTTTTCAATTTTTTTTATCTAATCATACGAAACCTTTTTTCTGGTAATGTTATGTAGTTTAATATCACTGGCTAAAATGTAATATCAATCTTTCTACATGCTTGAACTAGAAAAACATTCACATAATGTAACTATCTTTTTCCTATAAATCTAAGAAATTCTGCATACCAGACTTGAAACTCAATAGGATTTCATAAGTTTGAAGAATCTCATCCATGTTTTGATCCCAATACCTCCATAAATAGTTTGAAGTGGATAGGAAAAATAATAATTTTTAGCTTGAATAAGCTAAAAGTTTAAATTTGATCATACTTATGGGATTTGTTTCCTTAGCTTTTAAGTTTTTAGACTCTTGTTATTGAATAAATAATGTGTATTTGGATCTAATATGGAAAGAATTTGCTAATTCATTTTTCTACATTTGCTTCAGTCACTGGGTGATACACTGGATCGGAACGTAAGTATTGCAGCCGGAGAGACACCATGATTTTTAAGCCTGTAGCATCATTTACTTTTACAGCGGTGTTGGTGTTCTTCTCATGGCATTAATAATAGTATGCTCATATTGTACATGCATCACACATCCTTGTAAATTCTGGTTGAATTAAGACCACATGGATCCTGTATCTAACGCTTTTAAGAGGTAAAATTAATGATCATAAACCATGTGGTTAATTCATTATTTTGGATGGTTCAACAAGTTGCTGAAATGAAACTTTGAATCTCAATTTCTTGGTGGAGCATCATTGTCATGGTTGGTTCTAGCATCAAAATTTTGGTACCACTCTATGTTTTAACAAATATTCTGTTCTCAGTGGATTCTAGCAATGACATAAAGAGCTAAAGTTCTAGTAGATTTGTTGGTGATGGAACATATGCATATACCCAAAGATAAAAAAGGAATGAAATTAAAGCTTAAAGTCCTATTCTTTTATTGTGCCTTTAAACTTTTGATTGTTTATTCCTTCTCATTACATTATTCCCAAATAATGCATATACTGGAAACGTGATCATAGTGATCAGACTAGATTAAGGACATGTTTGTTATTAACTTGCACGCGTTACAGGGCATGTAAAACCAGACCTTAGTCATTAAAGAAATTGTTTCTGAACATATTTTTAAGATGGTTCTTTCATAATTGAACATATAAAACAACACATAAGTCATTAAGATTGACATTATCATTGTCTTCTACAAGCACTTGAATGAAAATTTTACCTTGAATTGAACATATTTTTGATGGTTCCTTCACAATTGATCATATCAATGTTTAAATTCGTTCAACTACAATCACCATCCTCTTGAGTTGGAGAGAGCTATAATTGACAACAAAACTTTCATTTCATTTAAAAGATTTAACACTATTACATTTTTTATTCGAATCAAAATTATGTTGGAAGAGACCCTATAACTTTTGAATTGATTTCTATCTAATATTTGAGAAAATCTAAAACAAGATTGGGTGATTATTTGATTTTAAATTTTAACAATATCATTGAGTATATATATTTTAAAAATAATATGATGAAGTATATACTTTTTTTAATAAGCTTGAAATATATATATGTGCTTATGAATGCTAGATAAGGGTATTTTAGATTTGTTTCACAATATTTTTTCTCCTTCAACCAAAAAGTGTACTTCATTGTTAAAAAAAAAAAAAATTCCAATCTGCAACATTTCTGTTCTTAAAAGAAGAACTGAAAATTTCTTGTAGTTTTAATTGTCACAAGAGAAAAAAAAAAACAACAACCATTTTCCATACTTCTTTACAAAACTCAACTATAAAACCTTGATCTCGAACTATTCTAACAAGAATTCTGAAAATAAAAAGAAAAAAAATGTATACACATCTTCAATTATTTCATTATGCATCCTTATATACTATAATATTAATTTACTATTTAAATTTAAATTACATACATCTCATAAAATCATTATATTACAACTACTTAACTCTTCTACCACGCCAAACATACTCACCATGATGTTGCCGGCACCGGAATGACCCCGGATGTTGTGACGGCGAACACACGCATCGCTTCACAGAAGCACCACCGCCACCATCACCATGATGAACATGTCTTAGTTCATGTTCTACCTCATTTGACCCTTGAAATACAAACCATCTTCTATGTACAATCAAACCTTCTTGACTCACAAAAGGAAACCCTGGATGACACATTGATATGTTGTTTTGTTCTTTCAATTTCTCCTAGCCCTTTATTTTGTATTTATAATGTGCCTTACTTTAGTGAATTAAGAGTTGAAAAAGAAAAGAATCTTCTTGGGTAATGTAGAAGAATAAAAGTTAGAGGAAAAGGTGATGGAAAAGTAAAGGAATTGTGTTTGCCATAAAAGGCTTTTGTTATATTCCTTTGGAAAGATTTGTGCTTTGCACTGCAATTTGTAAGTCTTTATACAAATTTTGGTATTTAGAAGCGCGTGATTATTTCACATAAATAGTAATTATAGATCAATGCTTAATTTTTAATGTTATTGGTAATTAATTTGGCAATTAGTTATATTAACTATAAATTTATTCAAAGAATAGACAAAAATAATACTAGTATAGGCAAACATAACATTATCTCCACACCGACATATTGTGGGTTTAATTTCCACTGTGAGAATTTTTTTGTATGTAATCTATAAATATCTCTATAAACAAAGTCTCTCTAAATCTTAACATTTACCAAAACTATAATGAAAATTCCAACTCAGCAAAACTTTATTATGAAAAAAAACATATTTTTACTATTTATCTTTATATTGTAATGTAAGATTAACTTAGATCACACTCTAGGAGCAATGATTGGACCTAACTTACTACATGACATGAAACAAGAACATGTGTTTAGGCCTATGTCTTTGATACTGCCACATGTGGCTCAAATCCAAGAACACCTCTTGTGTGGCATATGTCTCCCTCCCTCCCTCTTAAATTTTTATGATAAATTCAATATAATAATATCAATTTTTTTCTTATAATTGAACAAATATATAACGAGAAGTTGAAAGTCCTAGTTCTTAAAAATGTAATTTTTGTGTCGAAGTAGATAGTATTCAACAGAAATAAAAATATGTCGAAATAATTTAGTGTGTTTGAGTTGTGTAGTTGTCAAAATATCGAAGGAGTTAGACTCAACATAGATTTTGATTTATGCCTAATTTTGTAGTATTAGTAGAATTAATTTTTTTGAGCTTTGTATTTTTAGGCTTTGCTTAGGGAGCAAACAAACTCAAAATCTATAAATAGGGAGTAACCCTTATTATCATATAACAACAATTTGCAGTTGCAAAGAATAATATTCAGTTTTGAATAGCAGAGTGAAACTCTACAGAAATTCTCTTCTTTCATATTTCATTCAAACTCTAATTTCCTTTTCTTTTCAATTCAATTTTTTCTTTCTTCTTTCATTAATCGTTGCTGCGCAGAATCATTCTTGCACAACCAGTCGAATTTGTGAAACAAGGCGAAGAAAGAATGGTGTACAAGCTGCTGTTCGAACTGCAGTAAAGCGGAAAGAAGCAAAAATTTAGATTTGGAAGGATTCCCTCTGGGATTTATATCGTCCCCACAGGGATCGGTGCGAGGGAAAGTATTTCGTTCAACGGTCTCTACATTTCTAAGCTTATGGTAAAAATTTGGTTAAAAGATCAAAGATGTAATAGATAAAACCTGAAAATATAAAGACGGAAAATATAAAGTAAAGACTTAAAATATAAACGGAGCCTTGTTGAGATTGAATCTCATTAATTGATAACACATGCATTCTTCTGATCATGTTATACACAACTCAAACGTTCGTCTAATACCATCACATATCACCCACAACAGAGGTTATGTCTAACACAAAGTCAAGAGGCCAACCTTATTATCTCATTCGTGATGTCTTACGCAACAAAACCAACACAGAGCATTAATAACTGATACTCACGTGAATATTAAACCTAAATCTACGTCTAGGTTTAAACCTAACAGATATTCAAATAACATCCATATCAAATTAATGATTTGATTCATATATAACGTCATGATCAAAATAAGTACACATGATTAATCCTTTTTACATGTATTTAACTAATTTACCAAATGTAAGTGAACATAGTTTTTCATCACTATTATGACGCATTCTCACAATATCGTTCGCGTCAAAAACGTTATCGTGGTCTTTACCATATTGATCATACTCATGCTACTCATGCTATTAATCAACACAATAAAATAAAAGTGATGCAAATGAATATCAACTCACAAGACTATGTCAAAAGTTTGCTCATTGATAGATGAATATCTTAGATCCATGGTTTGAAAAAGGTTTGTCAATACCCACAAATATGAAATCTAAAAGACAACATCAATATTGAATCAAAACTAGTTTATAATACATAAATTATAAGAAATACATAAGGTATCAAAATATTACATCCAAACCCCAACAAAAAATCGAATATCTTACCTTCTTCTTCTTAGGATTTGTGTTTCTCTCTCAAGAATGTGCTTGAAATGAAGAGAGATAAAATTCTATGATAAAAATATAATATCTATTTCTAAAAAGTGAGAAAAGTACTTATATAGTATTTACAAATTCCGTCATGTTTGCCAGACGAACAACCCATTCGCCTAGCGAAGTCTACTTTGAGACACTCGAAGTGCCTCAAGAATAATTAAACCACCATTGAAAAATCAGAGTTCGCCGTGTGAGCACTTCTTCGCACAGCGAACTGCTTCGCTTCAACTTCGTCCAACAAACTTTGGATCCTTTTCCTACTGTCTCTAATCTGAGATGGTTCACTAGGGCTTCGCCAGGACTTCGCCCAACAAGTATTCGGTGGCTGCTCGCCGGTGTTCGCACAACGAACATGCTGATTCCTCTTCATTTCTTTGGCTTCCTTTTCCATTCCATTATGTCTTACTCATTGATGTTTTATGCCTATTTTCTGCACAATAACACACACATCAAGGAATCCAAAGATATTTGCAATATAATCGAAGAATCACACCAGAACAAGAAGTAAATCTATTAAAACATGAGAATTGAGTTGAAAAATGTCAAGATGGATGGTTCAATTTTAGTCAAAATTTGCACTTAACAAACTCTCCCCAACTAGATTTTTGCTTGTCCTCAAGCAAAGTATGCTTCTCATGAAAACAAGAGAAATTTGCTCAAACAAGAGGATTTTCTCAAGCATAAGATTCAACCAAGAAAGGATTAACGGTTCAAATACAAACAAGAGAAATTTTCTAAAATAAGAGGATTTGGTCAAGCAAAAGAATGTGCACAAGCAATGTTCACCACTTAATAGAATCGAATAATAATAAAGAATTTAGTTCTTAAACAAATATCATACAATGGTTCAAATAACAAATAAGTTCTCATACTTGAATCACTCTAACAAAATAAGAATGAAAAAATTAACGCGTTTGCAACCGCGAGGAAATTTCACTCACCTGACAAACAATGCTAATAACAATCCAATTCATGCATTCATCTAACAATCAAAAATAAAATCACGGAAACAAAAAAATCACTAAAGGCTTGTAAGATTGTATCTTGGCCGGGTTCACAACAAATGGTCATTTCTAAAGGTCATTGAATCAAAGTTTCTAATGCAAAAAGAGACATTCACTATACAAGGTATTTACACATCACAACTTTATTCACCAATTTCTTTTTCTCAATTGTAAACCTCTCAAACTTCCTTTTGCACAACTATTTCGTTCTCTATTTTTCTTTTTCAAACAAACATTCTTTTTATTTTGTTTTTTACATTCATATTCACAGTTTTTCCATGCTTGCTTGAAATTTTTCAAAATTTTTAGTAACCTACCATTTTCCTTTTTGTTCTCCCCAACTTGAATTCAACCAAACCTCAAGTGAATGCTCCTTGATTTTTATAGCAAGGAAATCAATTTAAATAATGTTCAAAGGTTCAAGAATTTTTTTAAGAATCTCACAAAATTCAATGATGAACTAAACTTTCAAATTATGTATGTACACCAAGTTTATCACTAAAATGATATCTAAACTATTTAGGCTTAAATGGGTTAACAAATACTCACTACTCATGGGTAAGTTACTTTTGAATATGGTTGTGCTCAATATAAATAAATGCCTTGATCATTTCTAATGCTTCCACAAAATCACAATAATCAAAAGATTAAGCATGAATCAAATGAATTAAACAAAGTTATCAGTCATCCTAGCATATAGTAAACAATAGAGGTTTCTCACAATTTATGTCTTTTGGTCTTAAGTGAAACAAGCATTCAAACAAATTTGCAAAATGAAACAAAAATACACATGTTCACAAAGCACAAAATTCTTAAATCATTCTAGCATTCTATAAAGCGGTACAATTTACCTTGCTTGCATTCACATGTTCAACATCCTATCATCACCATTCAAACTCGGGAGAATCTTCATTGAATACTTTTATATAAATATCAACCAATCTAGAAGAGGTTCTCATCATTTATCCCTAAACAACGCTTAAGAAAACATAAAATGAAACAAGTATATATATAAAATATAAACAACTGTAAAAATCTAAAAAATATAGAAACTATTACAATGTGATTCAATATCTAAACACCAATCCCAGCAACGATGCTATTTTGTTCGAACTGCAGTAAAACGGCAAGAAGTAAATATTTAGATTTGGAAGGATTCCCTTCGAAATTTATATCATCTCCACAGGGATCAGTGCGAGGTAAAGAATGTCGTTCAACGGTCTCTATATTTCTAAGCTTGGTAAAAATTTGGTTAAAAGATCAAAGATATAATAGATAAAAGCTGAAAATATAAAGACAAAAAATATAAAGTGAAGACTTAAAATATAAACGGAGCCATGTTGGGATTGAATCTCATCAATTGATAACTTATGCATTCTTCTGATCATGTTATACACAATTCAAACGTTCGTCTAATACCATCACGTATCATCCACAACAGAGGTTATGTCTAATGCAAAGTCGAGAGGCCAACCGTATTGTCTTATCGGTGATGTGTCACGCAATAAAACCAACAAAGAGCATTAAGAAGTGATACTCACGTGAATGTTAAACCTAAATCTATGTCTAGAGTTTAGATCTAACAGGTATTCAAATAACATCCATATTAAATTAATGATTTGATTCATATATAACACAATGATCAGAATACGTACACATGATTAACC